TGGCCAGGGAGAAAGACAAGGAAAACTTCTGGGGTGATAGGTATGTTCTGTATCTGGATCTTAGCAATGGATGCTCAAGTGTAAACATATGTAAGAATTTACAGGGTGCCCGGGTGGCTCAGTCGGTTAAGCATCAGACTCTGGCTCAGGTCTTGATTTCATGGTTCATGAGTTCGAGCCCTGCATCGGTCTCTCTGCTGTCAGCACAGAACCTGCTTCATATCTTCTGTCTCCCTCTCTCTCTGCCCGCCCCTCCCCCCCACTCACATGTGCACTCTAGCTCTCTCAAAATAAACATTAAATTTTTTTAAATTACCAAGCTGCACATGTACAATATGTGCAATTTCTACCACACAACATGCACGCTACAATTCTTTTAAAATGGGGGGAAGAAGGGGAGCCTGGGTGGTTCAGTCGATTGAGCGACCAACGTCGGTTCAGGTCATGATCTCATACTCCGTGAGTTTGAGCACCGCATCGGGCTCTGTGCTGACAGCTCAGAGCCTGGAGCCTGCTTCAGATTCTGTGTCTCCCTCTCTCTCTGCCCCTCCCCCTCTCATGCTCTGTCTCTCTCTGTCTCAGAAATAAATAAATATTAAAAAAAAATTTTTTAATAAATAAACAAATAAAATGGGGGGAAGAAAATGAGGGAGGTAAAAAATGTGGCCATCGCTAAAGGTATCTAAAGAACACAAATGAAAACCACACAGAACACTGGATAATCATAAAGACAGGTACTGGCAAGGGTTGGCAAGGATGCCCAGAAACTGGCACTTTCATTCACTGCTGGTGGAAACATAAAATGGTGCAGCCACTTTGGATATCGGTCAGTCGGGTCCTCAAAGTATTAAATATATAGAGTGATTATTGATTTAGCAATTCCATCCTATATATATATATATATATATATATATATATATATATATATATGCAAAAAGAAATGAAAATGGAGGGACACACAAAAACTCGTACATGAGTATTTTAGCAGCATCATTTATAATAGCCAAAAAGTGGAAAGAGCTAAAATGTCTATTGGCTGATGGATGAATGAATGAGGTATATTCACACAATGGAAGAGTACTCAGCCATAAAAAAGAATGAAATGCTGATAGATGGTACAATACAGGTGAACCTTGAAAATGTAGGGTCAGCAACAGAAGTGTGTCGTGTCAAAGAAGGCCATATAATACATGATTCCATCTCTATGAAATACCCAGAATAGGCAAGCCTGTAGAAACACAAAGGAGATTAGTGGTTGCCTAAAGCTGTAGGGGCAAGAGGGGAGGGGGCTGGAGTGACAATCAGGGGGAGTGGGATTTCTTTTGGAAGTGACAAAAATATTCTAAAATTAATTGTGGTGACGGATGGACTCAACTCTGAATATACTAAGAAGTGTAAAGTTCCAGTGGATGAATTGGACGGTTTGTGAATTATACCAATTAAGTTGTTTAAAAAAACAGACACAGAAGGGGCGCCTGGGTGGCTATTTCAGTTAAGCATCCAACTCTTGACTTGGGCTCAGGTCATGATCTCACCGATCCTGGGTCCGAGCCCTACATCGGGCTCTGGGCAGATGGTGTGGCTCCTGCTTGGGATTCTCTCTCTCTCCCTCTCTCTCTCTGCCCCTCCCCTCTCTTAAAATAAATAAATAAATAAACTTAAAAAAAAAAAAAAAGACCCTGAAGCTAAATTCGCCACAGCTAAACCCTTCAACATGCATGCTTGCATTCATTCAGTCAGTCTAACAAAGGGCTCATCTTGACACAAAATCCCAACAGTTTTTCACTCTTCTAAGCCTTCTCTTTTTTTTTTTTTTAATTTTTTTTTTCAACGTTTATTTATTTTTGGGACAGAGAGAGACAGAGCATGAACGGGGGAGGGGCAGAGAGAGAGGGAGACACAGAATCGGAAACAGGCTCCAGGCTCCGAGCCATCCGCCCAGAGCCCGACGCGGGGCTCGAACTCACGGACCGCGAGATCGTGACCTGGCTGAAGTCGGACTGCGCCACCCAGGCGCCCCTTCTAAGCCTTCTCAACTCAAGAAGTGCTTGCTACTACCTGACAATTACGTGCAGTGTATGTAAAAGTACAGTGCATTTTTTTTTACCCGCTTCCAGAAGAGGACTTGAAACGAAGCGGCCACATCCACGTAGCTAAGCCCTCTGATCCCACACACAGCCCGCATTTCCTCTAAATGCTCTGACTCATATAAACTATCCCCACTTAGCAAAACCCTCTAACCTGGAGGCCAAGACTTCATCCTATCCCTTGACCATTCTGTCCCCAAAGTCAGCCAGACTCTCCGTATCTTTAGCCAGTCTGATCAGAAAAGCAAAAGCTTTGTTAGGTGTTTCTCCTCCCCCCAGCACCCCCTCCACCCCTATCTATTGCTCTGGGTTGAAATTCTGGCTGGAAATCTGCTGACTAGGCCTGTGACAGCGAAAAAGAGGTAGGAACCTTCAGACCCTTCCTGTGTGAAGCAACAGCCATGCCAAGGGTGAGAGAAACCTGCACGTGGCGGGGGGTGGGGGTGGGGGTGGGGGTGGGGGGAGACATTTAAGGAGGTGGTGGCTTGAAGGTGCCCACCCTGCCCTTGCGTGGCCCTGAGAGCGGACACCTCCTTAAATGTTGTGCCCTAGGCGCCTCGATGGCCTCACCCTGGTCCTGGCTCTGGGCAACAGGAGGCTCCTTCCTCCAACAGCGGCTCTAGAAGACAGCGCTGGGTCTCTCCCTCAGCCCTGGCTTCAGTATTTTAGCCCTCGATCAACTTTTATGGAGATGCCAGGCCAAAAGAGCTGCTCCAAGGTGGTAGGAAACTCCACAAATGTTGTTGACTTAAGGGGCCTGGCCAAAGACACACCTGCCCAGCCTCTTGCCCCAGTGCCCCACCTGGGTTTATGGCGCCCTCCTCCCAGAGACAAACTCAGGGATCAGAAATCCAGGCCAGAGGCCCCTCCTACCCCAGGATTCAGGAGCGCAAGCCTCCAGCCCCCTCTTCCCTTAGGTCCAAGAAGTCCAGGCCACCACCCTCTCGGGACCCAGGATCCAACTCACGAAGCGCCCGAAGTGGATGGAGTCCCCATCCTCAATGTGCAAGTCAGCCTGGGCCCCGCTAAGGCGGGAGATGACAGACTGGCAGCCGGGGAGTAGGGACCGGAGCAGCCCTGAGCCCGTAATGTGATCCGCGTGGCAGTGGGTATTCACTGGGGGAGAAAGGAGGGCCAGGTCCAGGAGGGCACAGAGGAGGACGCAGGCTTCCCAGCCCCCAACCCCCTCCTCCCTCAGACCCAGGAGTTCGGTCTCCAGACTGACCAGCATACAGCAGCCGCAGCCCCAGTTCCTTGACCAGCTGGGCATCCCGAGGCGCTGTCTCCAGAACCGGGTCGATCAGAATGGCCTCACGGGACTCTCTGTCACCCAACAGGTACGTGTAGGTGCAGCTCTTGGGCTCAAACATCTGGGAAGGGGGCGTGGGACAGGTGAGAGCGCAGAACCAGACTTCCACTCACTGGGGACCCAGGACTCCGAGCCTCGATTCGATTCTCTTCCTAAGATCCAGAAGCAGAAACCCTTCTTTCCCCTCGGCGTCGGGAGTCTGGGGCCCCTGCACCTTACTCCATCTGAACCAATGAGTCCCAACTTTCCAATACCCCCCCCTACCCCCCCGCCAAATCAGGGTCTCCAGCAGCCTCTTCCGTCTAGGACTCAGGAGTCCGGCCCCAAGCCCCAGGGATCCCAGATCTCCTCCGTTTCAAGGAACCCGGAGTCCCGCCCCTGCCGCCGCCCAGCGCCCAGTAGTCCCGTTGCGGGTCCAGCGTCCTCGCACCTGCCGTAGGAGGATGGGGACTCCAGACCCGCTGCGCTGGCTGAGCTGCCGCCCGGCGAACCTCAGTGTAGCCCCCGCCATCGCGCTCGCGGCCGGGTGGGACCGTGCCGAGGCGCAGCGCCTGCGGAAGCCCGGTGCCCACTGGCTGACCTGGGCGGGGCGGGGCGGGGCGGGGCGCGGCGCGGCGCGGCG